TTGTGGGACAGAACCCTTTAACTTGTGTGGTCTGACTCTAACACCAGGGAGACAGTGTAAGAACTGAAATAAATAGTTGGACACTCAGTTGGTGTTGCAGAATTGGTGAACTGATATGGAAAAACACACACTTGGCATCAGAAAAAAAACACTGCAGACCCAATGAGTGCTCTTGAACTAAAGGCCAGCTTTGGTGGGGTGTGGACCTTTATAGATACCTCAGAGTCCTCTCTGAATAAACTAGATCACAGAAAAGCACTTTAGAAATCATCTTCCCCAATTTCTTCAGAGACTAGACAGGTAAAATGGACAATTTAAAAAAAATTTTTAAAAATTATTTAAGTTATTTCTACACCCAATGTGGGGCTCAAACTTACAACCCCAAGATCAAGAGTCTCATGCTCTACCAAATGAGCCAGCCAGCACCCCCAAAGTTCACCATTTTAAAAAGTCGAGATAGCAACTTCACACCTTACTACAAAGGACTAACCATGCCATTTTCTATCATCTGCTGTGCTTGTATTTCTTTCTACCTTACGATGACTAGGGAAGTGGTCAGAATAAATTATTACCAATAGGACTTTTTGCACCCTCTTTACACAGTCAGGGTTGAGATGACTCACTTTCTTCTTGCTTTTTAAGAAAGCACACCTTCTGGGGTGCCTGGGTGGCTCAGCCGTTAAGCGCCTGCCTTTGGGTCATGTCATAATCCGAGGCTCCCTGCTCCACAGCTTCCTCCTCTCCCTCTGCCTCATGCTCCCCCTGCTTGTGCTCGCTCTCTGTCAAATAAATAAAATATTAAAGAAAGATAGAAAGATAGAAAGCAAGCAAGCGCACCTTCTTATTGCCAGTACCTAGACAACTTCTTAGCATATAGTAGGGAATCAGTTCACTAATTCAACCTAAACACCCCTAGCCTTTGGTAAATGTGAGTTCCTTGCATTCTGGATTAGGAAACAGATAATGTGAGAAATTATTTTAACATGACCGTGGGCAAGCTGTCAGGACAACAGACGGTGCCATATGAAGATTATTAGAACTCCAGCCTGTACCAATTGGAGGAAGGCCAGCTATATAGAGCTTCAGTGACTCTTGCCTCTGAGGAGGTAGAAGGATCAGAGGAAAAACAAGATTTAACATTAGAATACCTATGTTCTAGGCACTGTGCCCACTTCACTCACCTGTATTTCCTGACCTTAGGGAATTCAACACTGAAAGCTGGGCATTAATATCCCCATTCTGAGGATCAGCAGACTGCAGTTCAAAATGGTTGAGGAAACTTAACCTAAGGTGACACGTTCTACGACTGCCCTGGGCACTGTTGGTGCGACAACTACTGTTCTTCCCTGAGAGGACAAAGAACTTGCTTTGATACTGGTTCAGCTTATTGTGACTTACTGTGACCAGTGTCCTGACAGATTTTCACTTGGTTCTATGCTCCTGACCTTCCAAAAACACGTAATTTCTTTCATGTCCATACAGTTTAGCCTTCAAAGCCCTTTCACATCTATAGGGGTAATATTCTTACTACGGGGAAGGGCAGAGACTTTTATGCTCATTACACTTAGAATAATGCCAGAAGAGTTGAAAGAACTGGCCAGTTTTCCTGGTCCTCCAATCTAGGTTTTTGTTTGGTTTGCAAGGCCTCGAAAACATTCTAGAAGAGTGCTACCCTGGCCAACCACCTGCTCCAACTCGAAGTCCTTTCTTGCAAGGCTGGCTAGCTCACAGTCAAGACTGCAGGTGGCCCGCAGAATGCCATGTGTGGCTCTTAGCGCAGGGGAACAAACCTTATAAATTGTACTGATACTAATCAGATCTTAAAAAAACAAAAACAAAAAAAACCCCAAAAACATAAACTACATTGCCATACAGAGACACAAGAGGGAATCCTCAATCATTAATGGAGAAAGAAATTATTTTCTATGTAGGCCATAGGTAGGGCGAGGAAAGAAGGCACAGAATTGCTACTGTTCCAAGTTGAAAAGCTAAGGAGTACGTAGTTTAAGACCACGGTACAGGCATATATATAAAGAAAACAAACACACATATACGTATACGTGTTCTTGTATCAAAAAACCAGTAACACACACATACACACGTGTGTATATTAATTTTCTGATACTAGACTGCTCTGACCGAGAGTAAGGATTTGCTTTGGGCACTGTACTAGGCCAGTGATTTAAATTTTCATGATCTATGTTGCCCTTACAAGTAAGAAACTATTAAATCTGCGATGTATACAATACTTGTTTCCTTCACTTAATAAGCAGTTGTTACTACATGTAGACACTACCCTAGGCGCTTGGGATTTGGCATTAAACAAAATGTCTCTCTCCTGGAACTTCTTTTTTAGTGGGGGAGACAACAAAGAAACAATATCCAGGTGTGGTGGTGTGGTGGCAGTGGAGGGGTGAGAAGTAAATTGTAGATATTATTTTGGAGAACACATTACTTGTCACAGGGTTATTGTGAGGACCAACTGAGAAGGAATAGTTGGAAAACTGTAGTGCCTTATTTGTGTATCATTAATCCTATAAAGCATATGCTCCAACCTCTATTAGTCTGTCAATATTTGTGATAATATTCATTTAGAAATTCAACAAGTGTTTTGTAGGAGAATGCAGAAACATTTTTAGTAATTTGTAATTAGTCAATCAACTGATGTCCTCTTTCGGTGACGCATTTCATGATAAGACATTCCAAAAGCCCACCAACCACACTATTAAGCAAGGTTGATCAGGAGCTGAAAACACATGAGGGAGACAAGCAAATACATGACTGCTGAGTGGCTATGGAATGAGAAGGGTGTAGGTAGAATAAGTGTCAGGAAAATGAGACAATTGCATCCAAATAATCTTGAAAATCTACCCAGAAAAGACCTTCTCTAGCAAAATTATGACCAATGTGTAACATAAGAGGTAGAATTCAGCTCATTTTAAACACTTTCAGTTCATTTACTTTCTGACATAAGGTTCTCCTTCAAACAAAAAAACACAATGGTGCCTCCTGCACTCAGGTTAAATTAAATACCATTCATTCCAAGTAGAACCTTCTTAACAAATGAGACAAATGGCCCAAGGGCAGATATTGGGGTAAAACACCTCTTGTAAGCAGTGACAAAGTAACTGGAACTGGAACCAGGCTTTATTTCCTACTCTTCCATCAGGGCTCAGGGCTGCTGGACTCTTCGTCCGTGATGTGTACTTTTGTTGACTTTTTGTGGTTAGAGTTTAGTCTAGTGGACTAGATGGCCAAAGCCACTTGCTTTAAGGCATAGGTTTCATGGAAATGGCAGAATTACCATAAAAAGGGCATTCTTTTATTTTGGTATAGGTATTTAAACAACACAAAGCCTCAGCAACTCTTGGGGGTGCTTGGCAGGCTATCAGTAGAGCACGTGACTCTTGATCTTGGGCTTATAAGGAAAAAGTCCCACATTGGGTGTACAGATTACTTAAAATCTTAAAAAAAACCGCAACTACTAAGAACTTTAAAAACTTGCTACTCAAAAGTGTGGTCCACGTATCAGCAGCCATTAGCAGGCAAAAAGAAATGAATATTCTCAGACCCACCCAGACCTACTCAATCAATCTCTAGGGGTAGAACCCAAGGAGCTGTATCTTAAAATAACTCTCACAGATGATTCTTATACTTGCTAAAGTTTGAGAAGTACAGTTTTATAACACAAATGCGCTAGCTCTTAGATACATTGGTATGGTTAATTAAAAAAATCTATTTTATTTATTTTTCCTACCTAAGAGTCAATTAAGTGTGAGAAGGTTACTCTGGCCTATCACCAGCTATTGGTCAGCCCTCATTTTATATGTATAAATATAAAATATGTAATACCTTACCTACCCATGCGTCAAGAACCAGCGAATCAGCAAAATAAAAAATGAGCAGCCAAAATACATGCTATAAATAGGGACTCATAATTACCTTATATTAAGAAAATACTTGTGTCTAGAATTATCTAAGAAGATAAACACATTTGCCAGAGGCAAAGGAAGTCTACATTTTAGAATAATTTCTATCATAATTTGTATGCGTATATGTGCACGTGTGTTATGTACATATCTATGCATCTGTGCAAACATACACATACATGTGTTTACACACAAGTCCACACAAACACACGTTTTTGCCTTTAAGGAGCTTAGTATCTATAAAATGTGGCCACATGGACGCCCTATGATTAAAGTTCCAAGGCTTTATTTTTATTTCCTTGAAGACCACCATTCATTTAAAACTGAAGTACTTAGCATTTCAAAAACAGGCAGAAAATCAGTTACTGTCACTATGGGAACAGATTTTGCTCTCTGCACTGGATTCCAAAACTGAGGAACACTTCCCAACCCTACCAGTTAGACTCCAGACTACCTTATTCATGAAGAATCAGGACATTCATCAGACACAGTTATATTATTTTCAGATGTGGGATACACGGAGTCAACAATTCTCAGTGTTGCTAACCAATTTATTATAAACACACTGGAACTCTGGACATAAAGTTCAGTAATTAAACACTGAATAAACAGACTAAATCACCACCCCACCCTGCCAAAGGGGAATAAACTCTCTCTCCTGTTTATTACTTTTTTTTTTTTTTTTTAAGGGAAAAGAAGGCCATTTTTCATCTCACATTCAATCATCAGTGAATTCTTCACATAATTCAGAACGCTCATGTTCTTGCTCTCTCACTCTGAAGTTTTAGCCTTTACTTCAGGAAGCACCTAAACATCTACAGGAGCTCCGCCCGCTTGTTCAGACAAAACTCCTACCCCGCCCACAAACTCTTTCCTTACCTTTACCAACCTTACTTGCTCTGTTTCTTTTCCCATGATATGAAACTGTTTATGAGAGAGGGGCGCTCAGAAAGTGCAGTATTTCATTTTAATTTCTCCTATAAAGCAAAATACGAAGGACAGAAGGAAGGAGACTAAGAAAGGAAGGAGGGGGAAATAACCCATGATATCCTATCAAATTTGTTAAATATCTATGATGGAAAAAGTTACGTTTGTTTATTTTGAAACTGTTTTAATTTACAAATACAAAACACCCTGGAAGACAAAAATGAAAGAAAAACACAAAACATATAGGCAAATTTTTACTCCATGAGCTTCTCAAATCCTCACTTATTCACCAATTCCCAAGATGGAAAAAGTCTCCTAAAAAGGTGTTCAGCCGCCACTGCAAAAGAAAGAAAAATGGTCCATCTCAGTGTATAGAACATTTTAATAACAATAATTATTTGAAATACAGTATCTATAATTTTATGGAACTAAAATCAGTTATTTGAGAACCCCAAGAGAGCATAAAGGAGAAGAAACTGTACTTTGAAATCTCAGAATGGGAAAGATCCTTAGAGATGATATGGCTTCTGATAGGCTTATCTTAAAAACTCTGAATCCTCTTTGGGTAATGTGTTTTATAGTCTTATTTAGTAAGTCTTATTTAAGTCTTCTCTTTCTAAATAGGATGGAAAATATGAATTACATATAGGGCAGTTAGTTGATTAAGTTTTTCAATTTGATATACAATCAACCGGCTGAAAATAAAGACTAAAACTAGCTCAACCATTCCCAACTACGATCACTAAAAAACAGGGGTTTGATCGTAATGAAAACAAAAATCACCTTTTCTACAAAAGAACTTCTGAATTTCAAAAGCTTAAACATTGTAACAGTCTGCTGAGATATACATTTCAGTATCGTTTAATAATTTTTTTAAAGTAGGCTCCACACCCAGTATGTGGCTTGAACTCACCACCCTGAGACCAAGTGGCAAGCTCTACCAGTCAGGGTACGTACGATCTCTGACCGGTAATGGTAAAAGATATTGTGTGTTTGCCATGGAAACAATTAAGAGAAAGGAAACTGAATACTTGTTTCAAAACCTTCTTGGGAACAACCCAACTGATCTCAATCCAAAAGGGTGCGAACTAAGAGCGTCTGTCCTAAACAGTACTTTAGGCCACAACTTAGATAACGAAATAAAAGATTCTCTGGTACAAAACTAGGATAAATAACCATGTTGGACAGAATAAAAACTCAAAAATCTTCCCTAAGGGAATCTAGGAAAAAGGAATTTAACAAGGATAATGTTCCATTCTTAAACTTAAAACAAACCATCCCAACTGTTTAAACCCAGGATAAAGGAAATTTATTGTAGCAGTTATTTGTGAGAAACTGTCTGAGGATTTTAGCCAAGAGCAAGAAAACATCTGTAGCAGGCATTCAATCCGAAATACTGGATTTTAAAAGGACTGATGAAATGCGAACTGGAGCATGAAGGAAGGAATGTGACTCAGAATACGAATGTTCAACGGAGAGCTGGCTCTTAATAAGGGTTAAAAATATAGGATCCTGAGTCAGTCAGGCTGGGTTTTATTTCTTTATTTTTATTTATTTTTTAAAATATTTTATTTAAGCCAGTCTGGGTTTTATACGCTGCTTTACCACTTACCAGCCAAGCAACTTAGGTACCTACTTTTCATGTCTCAGTTTCTTCATCTATAAAATGAAAATAGCAGTAGGCTCACAGAAGTGTCATGAGGATTAAAGGAGTTGACCAAAGCAGGAACAGTCCCTGGCACACTTGCCCCATAAATGTTAGAGATCATTATTACCACCATGACCATTAGAAAAAGATAAAGAACTGTAAGCTGTTCACTTAATTCAACAAACACTTATTCACTGCTTTTCATGGGTACAGGAGAGTACGCTGGACTAGGTTCTGCTGGATACACACACACTACAGAATACATACACACACATATGCATTTACATATATTAACATTTTGAATGTGTGTGTATGTAAATATCTACAACAGGATTCCCTCAGAGCTCGTAATCTAAGGTGAAAGACAGGCCCTATCAAGGATGCAAGGCAGACAGTAACGTCTGGCAAGACAGAGTTAAAGAGACAGTTTTAAGTGAAGGCTGGGGAAAAAATGTAAAAAGCGCTCATATAACAAAATACTGAAAGACCAGACACTTGTTATTCCAAAGGGTAAAACTAAGAAAAATGAGGGATGTTTACAGGAAACAAGTTCCACATCAATTGAAAACAGTAACTGTATCAATTAAACCTGTCTGACGCTGGCATGGGAAGCAGGAGGCACTGAGCTCTGTGGAAAAGGGACTTCACAGAAACCCACCCCACCCCTTCTGCTTACTGATGAGGTTAAGTAGAGCCCAGGAATGCAGACTGTTTCTTCTTGAGTATTCTCTGCATGATTCCAGCATTCTAGCATGGGTATTCCTCACCAGTAATATCGCAGAGATTTCTGAAGTGATGGAGTAGATTGAGACCTGATCCTTTCCAGGTCTAATTTTCAGTGACCCTAAAGTCTCTCTTTGCAGCACTTCTGTTTAATAACTTCCGCTTAATAACTACAACAACCTACTTAAACAATCCATCTGATAGTATCAGTCAGTCACTTGTCATTTAGAAGACAAATTCCACCAGTATCTAGAGTAAAGCATCTAGGACTTAAAAAATTTATAGTATACAAAGCATTTTTTTTTCCTTAGATTTTACTTATTAGAGAGAGCACAAGTAGGCAGAGCAGCAGAGGGAGAGGGAGAAGCAGACTCCCCGCTGAGCAGAGGAGCCTGATGAGGGACTCAATCCCAGGACCCCGGGATCATGACCCGAGCCAAAGACAGCCGCTTAACTGACTGAGCCACCCAGGCACCCCTACAAAACATTTCTAAGTAACTGTTCCAAACCTCTCTATCCCCTTGAATAAGCCTAATAGGTATCACTACCTCTAAATGACAGATAAAGCTCAGATTAAATAAATACAAGAATCCAAGAACAAGTAAGTATTGCAACTCATAGTTAAGTCTTTACATCAAACTGAAATGCCTCGAACTGGGATGCCTGGGTGGCTCAGGTCATGATCCCAGGGTCCTGCTTCACCCTCTGCCTGCTGCTCCCCCTGCTTGTGTGTGCTCTCTGACAAATAAAATCTTTAAGGATAAATAAATAAATAAAATGCCTAAACATGAATTATTCTAATTGCTCACTGCCATTAGGTTTCTTCGTAACTTATAATCAATTGGAAAAGAAAAGCTTTTAGAAAAGAATAAAGTGATCTCAGTGCTTCTCAATGTTTTCTTCTCCTCTCTAATACACTAGAAGTTAAGAAACCCTCCATTAGTACAGTGGTTCATGACAGTCACAACAACTTCCATTTCCACTCTTATCCAAATTCTTTTTTAGGGTTTTACACGGCTTAAGTCGTTAATTTTTCCTATAATCCAAGTAAGAGCTCTTAGCCTTATGGAATAAACTGGGCAGAGAGAAGCTAAGTACCTTGCCCAAGTTCATGACACCTATTAAGTAAAAAGAAAAGACAAGATCTGGTCTAGTCTGGACTCTATCAAGGTAGTGATTTTCAGACAGGGAGCATTTCTTCTGCACCTTAAAAACCAACAAGTTACTATATAGCATAAAGAAGATTTAAATTCGACTACTGGCTCTATCACTTGCTTTATCACATACTGAGGGCTTTTAACCCACTTCCTTGACCCTTTAAAATTTTATTTATTAAAGAAAACTGTGCCTGTTTCAGAGTTGATATAAAGACTCCAGAACATAGAAAAGCACTCCTAACTATCAAGTACTCAAAAAGTACCAGTAGACTCTAGCAGCATTAAAAATTCAAAAGACACCTCTATGTATCAACAAAACAGCAGGCCGTCAACTCAAACGATTTCAGTTCTTTTTAAAGACTTATTTGAGAGGGAGACAGCGCACAAGCAAGTGCATGTGAATGGGGGAGGGACAGAGGGCCAACGAATCTCCAGCAGACCCCCTGAAGAGGAGCCTGATGCAGAGCTCAATCTCACAACCCTGGATTATGACCGAAGCCAAAATTAAGAGTCAGACACTTAACCAACTGAGCCACCCAGGTGCCCTTCAATTTGTGTTCTATCCTAGATATTGTCTATTTCAAAAAGTTTACTTACACAATGATGTTATTAATAGGGATATGGATCAATTTCACAAAAAAGCCAATGAATCCCATTATAGCAAATCCTATTGCTGTTGCCATGGCAATCTTCTGGAATTCTGGATTTAAAAACACAAAATTTAGATTATTTTTTGCACTGTCATTGCAAGTATAGGAGAGAAAACTAACAGTGACATAAATAAACTTAGTGCTATACATTTCTCCTGATAGTAAATCTATCATTTTAAATTAAACAAAGCATGGTATTAAGAAATAAATTGCTTGACAGATCTTTAAATTTTCATATTTCATTGATATTTAAGGACACAGAAATAAAGTGGCTGCCCATGCTAGTGAATCCATCAACAGGCAGCAAAATAGTCTATCTTGGTAGCAAATGAACAGAATACCAAAAAAAAAAAAAGAATAAAAGAAATACACAGTATGTTTTAAAAGTTGTTATACTGTTAAAATAAATAAAGTTGTTATACTGTTAAAAGTATTAATGACAGAAACACAGAACATGATTTTTTTTTTTTTTAAATAAACAATACATCTGTTGTCTTTGATAACATAATGAAACCAGAAATAAAGCCTGAGAAAGCAAACTGGGCTGGGCACAACCCTACGTTCAAGTTTCAGACCTTGGTAATGCATCCATTTAATGTTATTTCCTCCCCCTCCTGACTTGGTTAGTCCCGTTATGTCCTGTCCAAACTCCTATTTCTCCTCTAAAGGAATTACCACAGCTGGAATTAAAGTGATAACTGCCATTCATGACCGTCTTCCCTCAAAGATTCTAAACTCCCTCAGAGCAAGGACGATTCTGTTACGTGTTTTCTGTGTTACACTACATACACACTATAACCTAATATATTCTCTACTACATTCCCAGCTCCTAACTTCAGGCGGCACTCAAATGAAGAAAGGTAGACAAATTCGGGCACACCTTTTAACAGATAAATTACGATAACTAAGAATTTAACTTCCAAGGTCGGCAACAATGATTTCATGTTAAGGTTTCGTTTAGGGGAAGAAGTGGGAAGGGGGCAGTGGCAGCCCGGGGAGGACTCCACAAGAGTTTCTGGAATGGAAATGTGGAAGATACTAAAAACTCCAAAGTCATTAACTCTGACTAAGGCAAACCTAACATGGGAATGCAGACTGTAATCACCTTTCACTACATGAAAATGCATAAAACAGAGAAATCTGTAAAGTGTAAAAAAGTGCATAAAATTTAGGAAGAAATGACAGTATTAAAAAGCAGTAAGATAAAAATAACGCAACAGTTATTAAACTGCAAGATATTAATCAAAGAAAAGACCTAGAAAATGCCAAGAGTTAATCTTTCCTCCCATTTTAAAGCTGTTACCTTTTCGGTCAGGTTTAGTGCACCTTTTCACCAGCCGGATTGAGTCCTTCACGAACTGCCGACTCGGCTCCACGAACTGCATTACCTGATCCATGATGCCTATTTCAACAAAACAGAAAAGTAAAAAATACTCACTGGTATCCTTTATCACAAAGTAAGTACTTGCTCAGTTACACCAAAATGTAGAGGAGAGCAGCCACGAATTCATGTCTGAGACGAGTCGATTCCATCTTATAAAATAAAACAAAAAAGTACAGATTCCAAGCCTAAACTGACATTAGTTTTATAAACATACTTACGCTTGTTTTCTTAGTATTTCACTTAAGCTTTTTCTTCAAACCCAGTGGGCTTAAACTTTATCGCTGTCCTGAAAGAGGCTAAGGGGTCTTTCTTCGGGGCCGGGGGGAGGGGGGGACGCTCACAATGCACAAACCCGGCACTCACTTCCAGGGGAGGGGATCTAGGGACACACTACAATCTCTCGATCTAGTCTAGACCAATCCTCCCAGTGTAGCCCACAGAAGTGGGAGGGCCAGGGCTGACTGTAGCTCCTCCGAGACTGGACGCTACGCACAAATCCCCAAAGCCAAGCCCGCAAGGAACTCCGGCCGCAGCCATCCACTCTGGCTGGAGCACAGAACACACCGGCGGCCCCCAACAGAGTACGAGTGGCACACAAAGGCGGCCGTGCGCAAACAGCCAAGAAGCCAAAGCCTGGGTCAGGTCTTTAAGCGCTGAAGGACCAGAGGCCATCAGAGCCACTCTCCTTCGCGCCCTGGGGAGGCCGCCGCCTTGGGGCTTTGCTTCCACAGAAGCCGTACTAGGAAGTGTGCGGGCAGCGGAAAGCGCCGGACCTCGGTCTCCGACCTGAGCAAACAGCCCTTCTTACCGCCAGCCCCTAAGAGCCTCCCGGCGACACCCGCCGCCTCGCCCACGCCCGCTGCCGCCGCTTGTCACAAAGGCTTCAGCCCAAGCCCACCAGGAGACACAGTCTCACCTGTCAGCCAACAACACCTCACACGCCAGCGACACGTAGCACAAAAGCTGACTGACCCTTGGCCACCGGAACCGGAAGCCGAGTCTCTGCCCTCTAGCCCGCCCACCCTTCCGTTTATTGGTCCTTTACGCGGAGACTCGGTGCGCAGGCGCATTTTGAAGTACAGCTCGGACACGCATCCCTGAAGATGTAGGCTGCGGCGCTTGATGACGTGCACTCGTGTAGGGTTTGTTTTTCTTCTGCAGCGTGAGTGTCTGGAGTCTACGGTTTTGTTCCCTAAATCCTCGGAGCTCCACCAGCCAGATATCACCCTATTCGCATTCACATAGCAAGACCACCTGAGGCCTTGCGCCGTGCCTGCTCTATTAGAAACGAGCTGGGTAAATCTCTGCTAATTGGATTCCATTTGATCGGATGATTTCTGATATGCTTCTGTTTTCAGCAGTTCATCTTGTTCTCATACCTCCTATCCATCCTTTTTATATGTATTTAATTTTACGGATCAAAATGAAGTTTGTGAGCAGCACAATCACGTTATGATCGACCTCGCTAGGAATAGTTTCCAACCCCTAGACCTGGCCCTCTTGTGGTATCAGTCTTGGGACTATATCTAGAATTGAATCCTTCAGTAGGTATACCCTAGGTTTGGTTTGGAGAAAGGGTTATAATGTATATATGTGTATGTTATCTGACTATGCTTTGGTAAGACTATTATGAACTCAGATATTTGGTGGTAACAGGTGAGCTTGTGATTTTTAGAGTGACTCATTCCTTGAATAATTATTTGAAAGCCTGTAGGTAATTATTTATTAAGCACTGTGTAAGACCCTCGTGGAGCTTATTGTTGGAATTTGCAGTGGAAGGAGAGAGAGTTTGTATAAATGCTACATAGCAAATAAAAGGGGGGTGTTGTGAAGAGAGAGAGAGGGAAAAAAAAAAGATGGTGGGATAAAGAGAGGATTCCATTAGATGTCCCCTATAAGGACTTTTCAGAGATGACATATGGACTGCAGTCCTAGGGATGAGGAATTATTCAGAATTTAAAAATGACTCTTAGGTCTGTTCAGAATTTAAAAATGGCCCTTAGTACCAAAACAAAATATCCCTATGAACTTCGCCATGTGCATAGACCACCTGCAATACAGTGTATGGGCTTCTGACCTCTAAGCCATTGAATCAGAATATCTAAGTGGTATAGTACTAAGAAGGCAACTACTAAAAATAAATAAGTAAATAATTCTGGAGTGATAATAGTCTTTCAGCTAATCATGCATTAGAATGGCATTCAAGAAATAATACAGTTCATCCAAAAGGCCACAGGGAAGGAAGAACGAGAAAAACAAAAAAGCAAAGCAGTCGAAAAAAAAAAAAAAAAAAAGAAACCCAAATAATAAAGCAGGAGAACAAATGTAACCACGTTTATAATTGTATGTCATCTAAATGTAATGTTTGTGTTTAAAAATGCCCCTCAAACACAAGTCAAAGTGCGTTTAAAATCCAAAGATTTGGCTATATGCTAATTGGATGGATGCAGTCTAAATATAAAGGCACAGGTTGTGAGTAAATAAATGGAAATGGAAACTCTGAGAAGACTATCAGAATTTAGTACCAGGTTTCTTGATAGCAGGTAATATTAGATCATGTCGATTTTAACAAAGGGAATTACTGGAGATAAAAAGCATTGCATAATGATAAAAGGTCAATTCATCAGGAACTTGTATCAGTCATAAATTTGTGTTATCTTCAAATGACATGAAACAAAAATTAACAAAAAGACAAATCTGCAAACAAGCAGGAGATTTTAACTATTTCTTTCAGCACTTATGGAATTAGAAAAGAAAAATCAGTAAAGAAATTGAAGATCTGAACATGATCAACTACCTTGACTTAACTAAGTTATAAATGGAACAGTACTCCCCCAAACTGCATGTACGTTCTCTTCAAGTGCATATGGTACTTCTCCAAGAGAGAACATACTCTCTTAATATAAATATAAATTATAAATACAAATATATAAATAAAGATTCAAATCATGCATTGTTTTCTCTATTACAGAATTAAATCTGTAACAACCAGATAACCAGATAAATCCAAGTGTTGGGAAATTAAATAACATCCTTCTAAGTAAATCATGGGTCAAAGAAGAAATCACAAGGGAAATTTGAACATAACTTGAACTCAATGATAATGAGACCATAGTGTATCAAATCTAAAGATCCTACTACAGACCCACAAGAATGGTTAGAAAGGTTGATGACATCAAATCTGGGCATAAGTAGAAATCAGTCAGAGCTCTTATTGTTGGTAGGAGGGTAAGATGAAGCAATCTTTTTGGAAGAGGTTTGGCGGTTTGTTATAAAACTAAGCGCACAACACCCTGTTACCTCATAATTCCAATTTTAGGTATTTACTGAAGATATATGAAAATATATTTACCTAAAGACTTACAGAAGAATATAGCAGGTTTATTTGTAATAGTCAAAAAACCTAAAGTGATTCAGGAGTCCGTCAAAAGAAGAGAAGATAGGATGATGTATCAAAGTGTTGAATTACTATATTGTATACCTGACACTAACCTAACACTGTATGTTAACTAACTGGAATCAAAATAAAAACTTAAAAAAAAGTCAAACAGATAAAAAGGTGTATTTCCACAATTAAATGCTACTACACAATTTAGAAAAAATGTGTATCTACAACAATACTGATGAATATAAAAAACATGAATGAAAGAAGTCTCTGGGAAAGAGTGCATACTTTGCCATTCTGTTTTTAAGAAGAAAAAGGTTATGAGTTAATGCCTGGTGAAAACAGTGTGTGGAAGTAAGGACTGAGGAGAGTAAGGAAACTCGGGTAAAAATATGTAACTTGACAAGGGTTAGGGTTCCACAGGTGTCTTAGTTCAGACTGCATAACAAAATACCGTAAACTGGATGACTTAAACCATAAATATTTATTTCTCACAGTTCTGGAGGATCGAAGTCCCAGATTAGGGTGCCAGCATGGTTGGGTTCTTGGTAGAGTACCTCTTCCCTATCCTCTGTTTGTATCCTCTGTGTATCCTCTCTTTGTATCCTTATATGGCTGAGAGAGTGCTAGTCCTTCCCCTTATATGGGTACTAATCTCTTCATTGGGCTCCACCCTTAGAACCTAAGTACCTCAAAGCCCCGCCTCCATCACAGTATGTGTCTGGGGAGTTCAAACATTCAGTCCATGGTAACAGGCATATGCATTTCTTACAGCTCATCAGATAGTACTCTTAAGGTCTCTGCGTTCTACTTTATGAAAAATTTGCCTCAGAAACTAAAGCACTATAAGCAAATATTGAACTCTAGTTAAACAGGAGTGAAGTATACAATTATTTGCAGTTTACTTAGGTAAAAATGTGGATTCATGGTTTGGTAGAAGAATGGATAGGTAGGTGATAAAGCAGATATAGGGAACTGTTACTTGTAGACTCTCGGTTGTGGTGGTGGGGGTATTCAGTGAACAGTTTGTATGTATGAAATTTTTTGTAATATGGGGGAAAGTCAAGTTTTAAAAATTTTGGTCTGACAACTAATGATGAATATAAATTGAAGTATATGTGGTAAAAATTTTAAATTGCCCCTTAATTTAAAAACATCAGTGAAATACTAATGGTGTCATTTGAGATAAACTAAGTTAATGCTCTCTTTAGATTCCTGAATCTCCGCCTGAAGGTAGAAAAAGTTTAAAACCCTGTATAGATAGAGAATTTTTTAAAACATCATATTTAAGTAATAAAACCTCTGCTTAGGTTAATGATTTTTTTACCCAGAGGTTTTGTCTTTTGTTTCTTAAAGTAGGAAAATATAATCTTTAATTGCAAATGGAATATATGATATTTTTGACATTTATTTTATTTACAAGCAAGATATCTTTGCTTTTATTTTTAATTTTTATTTATTTTTACAGATTTTATTTATTTATTTGACAGAGAGAGCACAAGTAGGCAGAGCAGCAGGCAGAGGGAGAGGGAGAAGCACGCTCTCCACTGAAAGGAGAGCCTGACCTGGTGCTCAATCCCAGAACCCTGGGATCATGACCTGAGCCAAAAGAAAGTGCACCTCTCTCTTTGCTTAT